TTGTAAAAGTGAGTGGGTTTTTAAATAATTGGGGGTAAAACTTTGGGTTAGAAGAGATTTTTCCCTTTTATTTATCCTGAGACCAACAGACCGTCGCTTCAAATTTGAATAAATTTTTTTCCGCCATTTTCGACTCTCACTCCCAAAACCCTAGAAATCTCAAAACCCTAGCAACGGACATCCGCTATTATGTCGTCCCCAACGATCCAATTCCCCATCGAAGACCGAGACCTCGACGACGCCGAGCTATGGGCGGTCATCGACTCCGCCGCCGCCTCCAGATCTCGAAAGCCCCTTCTCGCCATCAAGAGCTCCAACCATCAGTTCAGCTCGAGAAGCCCTAGATCCCCGTCCGAGGGAGAATTTCGAGCTTCCGCCGACGGAGAGGTGGTTCAAGAAGAGCAGTGGGCCCAGCGGCGTCCGCCGAAGATGGCGAGGGTCGGGGACCACCGAATGGTGGTCGTGAAAAGCTCGGCGAGAGCTGCGGTTGTGTGCTCTCCGATGCAGTCACCGTCGCCATATCCTTTGGCATACTCGTCACCGGGATCGGGAAAGCAGCGGGGGAAGGAGGTGAGTCCTCTGGTGGAGAGCCCTCAGTCGCCGGCGATGGATCAGTGGAGGAGAGAGGAGAAGGAGAATTCGACGCCGCATAGTTTATCGGGGCGGTTTCCTTCGGTTTCCATGTTCAAGCAGTATCAGAATTCAGCTATGGCGGTAAAATCTCACAAATTCCTTTTCTTAATCTTGATAAATTTTAGTGTTTTTGTCGTTTTCCTCGACATGGATGGCTAAATTTGACTGAGCTCATCCTTTTTAGAGCAATTCAATATGAGAATGCGTGGGGACAATTGATCAGACTCTTGAAATACTGAGATTATGATACCTGGAATTGATTGATTCGTATTTGTGTTCTGGGAACAGTGTTAAAACTGTAAACTTTCGAATTCAGCTGTTGACTTGCTACTGATATTACATGAATTACTATCACTAATAATCAAAATTCAATTCAGATAGGTCACTCTATATCTTCTGATAGGATTTTGGCTGATATTCTTTGATTTTGTTCTAATGGAGTAATTAACTCGTCTCAGTGTTCAATAGCTCAATCATGGCTAGGTAAGCTTCAACTTAGATTCCATATTTAGGCATCTCAATTGATGTAGTCCACGATTAACATTTCGCTTTACCAGTTGAAGGACCGGATCTTCCGATTTTAGGTTAAATACAGTTGTTGGTTAAGTAGTCCAACTAAAATCCTATTATGAGAAATTTAGTTTACATCTTAATCTAAGTTCCCATAAGATGCGGTTCCAGTCATGTTAATGACTAGTAGTCTTTCGTTAACTAGCTAAGTTGAGCGAGGCTTTATGTTTGTCTAGTCAGATATTTAGATACAGGATTCAACATAACCTGTCCTGTCTACAATCTGCACCAAATGTCTATTTGCAAACCATTGTGAAGTTGGGAACCCAGTCGACTTTAGATCTTGAACAAAGACTTCAACTTTTAGGGTTTCACGAAAACCCTTAACTTTATGGCAAGATAATAAAAAACAAGTGACAATCCATGCAAACAAGAAAATTTTACGTGGTTCAAAAATGTGCCTACGTCCACAGTAGAATGGGGAGACTTTTTTATTACTTGAAGAAGAAGAATACATAAACATTATCCTCTCATTACCACCTCACAATGATGATCCCTCCGATTTCTTGTAAATCCTCACAAGAATAACATTCCTCTTGTAAATCCGCATAAGAGTACTCTCTTCTTTTTCTTCTTCTTTTTCCTCATCTTCTTAACCCATTTCTTCTTATAATACAACGAATCTCTCAAAGGGAATTCATAGATTTTTCTTCTTCCTATTTTGAGTTCATGTAGATCCTTCCTTTGACCAATTCTTATTCCTACACGATTCTTTTCTCATGATGCCTTTTATAAATTGTACTCTCCATAGAATTCCTTTCTCATGATACTTTCAAGAATTATTCAAATCCTAGTCTTCTTCCAATTAAAATTCAATTCTAATTGTATTTTTAGTCAAAGTCAAACTTTCAACCCTAATCAAATATGATTGTTTCAATGCAAGCCATATTCAACAAGCGATTATCATACAAGTGTAATTGTTTACGGTGAAAGTTGGTTTCTTCATTGAGGTATTCATTACAACTTCAGTCGTTATAATGAAAACAAAAAAGATAGTCTTTTTATAAGACTCTTACACAATGAAAACAACAACAAAAATTACAACTCTCGTCAAAACAAACACAACGGACGTTTATCACCCGCTGTTTGCATGGGGTCTTTGCCTGTGCCGGGGATGTTGATATCCGTGGACCGCCTACAGATCAAATTTGATTGTTAGAAAATTAACAGAGCTCCTAATTCACCAAGGAAGTATTTGCTTGAAGCACTAAAATCGATCAAGCAAAATCAGTAGCTCTTTTCGAGATTAAGACCAAGCCTAATCTCAAGGAACGGACGGGGGAAAATACGGGTTTAGATCCTTCGAAAGACTTTCTCTTTATGCTGAAGTTCGCTGGAATTTGACTTGCCTTCGCTGTAAATTCGTGCTCCTTCGACTCCTCAATCCAGCAACACCCCGTCCTCTTGATCAATTCGCCCCCGTGAAATGAGCCCCTAGGCCTGTATTTATAGGCTTCGGTTGGGGGGTTTTTGGATAAGAATGAGTGATTTGGCCTTATCTTTAGTCAATAACGGTCTAATCACGTTTGTAGATGATATCTAGACAGGTAAGAACCTCTGGAACAGAAGAAACCGATCGAAATAGTCTGAAAACGTGTTTTGGAGGTTATAGGTAGTTTTGGGTGCGAGACGGACCGCGGTGACCCACGCGGCCGCGGGTCACCAGCCGCTGCGCGGCCGCGGGTCACTCTTGGGTGACTTGTGCGCCATGCGAGTTCCGAGGTGTTTCCCGACTTTCCCAGACTTGTATTTTTCGCCGTTTCGTTTATTTGTCTGTCGTGTTGACTTGTACACTCCACGTGAGCTGACTAACATGCGTGTCCGGTCACTTGGAGCTGACTTACGCGCGCGGGCTGACTAACGTGTGTGTCTAGTTACTTAGAGCTGACTTACACGCGCGGGCTGACTGACGAGCGTGACAGCCAATTGGCGGTGGCCGTTGAGCGCACGAGACACAGTTGGTTCGCCATTCCGGTTCATGCACTTGTCGGCGTCAGATAATCCTCTTTGACTCGGATAACGACGTTCGTCATCTTCTCTCCGTCTCGAGCTGTGTACGGACACCTATAGATATTTTTAGACGCCTACAGATACCACCTCCAAAGTGTTTCAGTCTCATTCCTTTATAGAGAAGTCTGAAATACTTTGGATGTGATAGGCCCCCCACCTTCAGTCGGTGTCAAAGGACCTGTAGCTGGCTTTAATTCTTGACTTCTTCAGCTTTTAGTCTACTCAGTATTTTATCGAGCAGATAAAGTTTTTCTGGTACTACGTTTATCATCTGACCGTTATCGAAGTCTCGAACCGAAGTTGTTGAGTAAATTTCTGGATTTAGCTCATGTTGTTGAGTTAACGTTGAACTGATCGTCTTCGTCGGGAATTCATATCTGGATCTTAATTGAACTTCCTGGAACCATCCTTTAATCTGGAATTTAGCCTTATTTTGGCAAAATTATCGATGCGTTGACCGGCATCGACCTTTACTGTAACGCGTTGTCCGGCGTTGACCTTTATTATAACGCGTTGACCGGCGTTTAACACAGTTTATACTCGTACGTTTGTTGGAGTCTACACAATTTAAGCTCTTAAGGTATTAAAGCGTGGTGGTCCCAAATTTCGGGCTGCAGAACCAACTGTTAAAGTTGTTTCGTCTACAGATATGGATCTTATCCTAAAGTTGTTGGATGCTCAAGTTACGAGACCAACTAATAAAACTGATGCGTCAATGACTTTCGCATATATAGAATTTTTGGCAAACTCTCAGCCATCAACGGGTTTGATGAGCCTTTACCGACTACTGTTTGAGTCGGGCTAACGTACGAATTGTTTAAGTCCGTTCCGCACGTAACGTTGTGCTAAGAGAGTTAACTCTCTTAGTGCTACGAAATTGAATATGTAGACTTCGTCTTTCTCACGTGAAAAGATTAAACGGCGACGCGTGTTAGGCGTAGACTTAGGATTTTTGGCCAATCCTCAGTCAGTAACGGATTTGACGTACCTTTACCGACTACCGTTTGAGTTGGGCTAGCATGCGAATTGTTTAAATCCGTTTTCACTTGTAACGTTATGCTAAGAGAGTTAACTCTCTTAGTGCTATGATATTGAATACGTAGATTTCGTCTTCCTTACGGGAATAGACTATCCAGCAACGCGTATTAGGCGCTGACTTATCTCTATTTAGGAGTCGAGATAAAGTTCCCCGCGTGTGTAAGGCGCAGATTATGGTGTTATTAATAACAACCTGCCATAATATCGAATATGTGGGTTTTTGTTCTTTTTACGGTCAAGAACTAACCGACAACGCGTGTTAGGCGCTGACTTATCCCTACTTAGGCCTCGGGATAAAAGTCCCCAGACTTGAATTCTGGTGTCTTCTTCAATCGGTGAAAGACTAAACCGGCAACGCGTGTTAGACGTTGACTTATCCCTACTTAGGATTCGGGATAAAATTCCCCATACGTGTAAGGTACAGATTATGGTGTTATTAATAACAACCTGTCATAATATCAAATATGTGGGCTTTTGTTTTTTTTACGGTCAAGAACTAACCGGTAATGCGTGTTAGGCGCTGACTTATCCCTACTTAGGTTTCAGGATAAAAGTCCCCAGACTCGGATTCTGGTGTATTCTTTAATCGATGAAAGACTAAACTGGCAACACGTGTTAGACGTTGACTTATCCTTATTTAGGATTCAGAATAAAATTCCCCAGACTTGGATTCTGGTATCATTTTCAATCGGTGAAAGACTAAACCGGCAACGCGTGTTAGGCGTTGACTTATCCCTACTTAGAATTTGGAATAAAGTTTCCCGTGCATGTGAAACACGGATTTTGGGAGTTATAATGTTGAAAGATTATGTCTTCTCTTGGGGTAAAGACGACCCCGATGCGGGAGAGGAAGAATTTTATATTCTATCTCCCAAAGCTGAAGATGAAGAATTTTATATTCTATCTCCAGTTGTAAAGAAAACTTAAAGTGGGGTCTCCACTTTGAGAATCTGAAGAGTGAAACTAAGAGTGGGATCTCCACTCCGTGAATCGAAAGATTCAAATAATCCTAACTGTTGGAAGGTTTGATTACCGAACTAAAGGTTAATTTCTCATTTATCGAGAGTGAATTATGGTTTTGACCCTAACTGTAGGAAGGTTTGACCAAACGGGAGTTTGAGGTGACCCTAATTGTAGGAAGGTTTGATCACTCGATTTAGAAGTGTACCTCTGGTTCATTGAAGGAATCGAGTGGAGATTTTGGCTTTGACCCTAACTATAGGAAGGTTTGACCAAATGGGGGGTTTGAGCGATCCTAACTGTTAAAGGTTTGATTGTTCAATTTGCGGACCTCTTATTCATGGAAAGAATCGAGAGAGGATTTTGGTTATGGTCCTAACTGCTTAAATGTTTGACCAAGTAGGAGTGAAAGTATAAATCACAGTAGGGGTTTTCGATGTCAAATGACGAGATCTTGATACGAAGGGAATTTGACAATCGCAATAGACCGTTCGAATTAAAAT